AGCCCCTGGACGTGCAGGCAGAGCTTCTTGCTAAATGCCTGCCCTGTGCATCTCCCTGGAAAATCTCTGCCAGGCTGGTCTGCCTTTCTCTGTGCTCTGCAACTCTAGGAAACATTTTCTCTCTTCTTCCATGTTTATTAAAGATGAACTCTTTCAAATTAGTTATTTTTAACTTCTAATTGAGCAAAACCACAGTGACCATTAGAAAAAAGGAGTAAGTACAAATCCTGGTAGTGACCAGCAGCAGGATGCCCTGGTGCAGGTAGGTGGGCTGTGGGGGGCCCTGGGGGAGGCTTCCTAGGATGAAGGGGAGAGAGGGTATGTAACTGCCTCATCCTAATCCCCACAAAATCTTATAAAGCTACATGACCAAGACAAATACATCTTACTTATTCAAATCCAATATGATTTCATTCATATTTCAAGGAAAATAAGCCCTCACTAGGTTAGGTGGGTTCAGCAAGTGTACTGCTTGTACCTCTATTATGGTAATATCTTACTCTAGTTTAGCTATGGTTTGGTTTTTAGATATTTATTTCATTCCTGGACTCCCAGTAACTTGATAACTATACTGGATTGAGTAGTTTTGCCCCAAAATTCGTGTCCATCCAGAACCTATGCTTGTGACCTTATTTGGAAATAGGGCCTTTGTAAATGTCATCAAGGTAAAATGAGGCCATACTGAATCAGGGTGAGCCCTAAACCCAGTGACTGGGGTTCCTCTGCAGGGAGAATGATTTGGAGACCCAGAGACACACAGAAAAAATAGCCATGTGACAACAGAAACAGAGACTAGAGTGACACACCTGCAAGTCAAGGAACACCCAAGATTGCCAGCAACCATTAGAACTTAGGAAGAGTCAAGGAAGTATTCTTTCCCAGAACCTTTAGAGAGAGCATGTCCTGATGACACCTTGATTTCAGCCATTCAGTCTCCAGAACTGTGAGAAAATAAATTCGTGTTGTTTTAAGCCTCCCACTTTACAGAATTGTTACCTACACAGCCCTAGGAAATCAATTCAATATCTATCCTGGTATCTCCCGCAACACAGAACATAGAGCTTTGCTCAAAAGGAGGCTGCATGGCAGCTAGAGAACAAGAAGACAGACTGTGTGCTTGACCCTGGAGACATAGGATGGACCAGGCAAATGGGACAGGAGAACAGTACAGTGGCCCTTACTTATTGAGCCCCTCCCATGTACCAGTCCACACAACTCATCCACACAGCCAGGGTGAGTCCTGCTTCACAAGGCAAGAAACTAAAATCCAAATGGTGGCCACCTGCCCAAGGTTACCAGGCCACAGAGCTCAGACTCCATCCCTGGGTCTGGTTGACACACAAATCTGTGATCTTTCTTCCAAAAGATGTTCACGCCTCATTAGGAGCTTTCATTCCACCAGTCTATAATATTTATATCAGGCTTTTGAGGAAATGAAGCCTCTGCAGAATCCATAGGAAAAGGGAGAAGATAGGTGTTGCCCAAGAGAGTGACATCCTGTGATTTTAGGACCCTCATAAGAGAGCCTACAATATCTGATGATTTTTTAGAAGAACTTACTGTCTCTGAAACCAATCCCAATTTCAGTTCTGGGTGCTACCAAAGGAATAAGTAACTTCTAGCTCATTCCTTTGCTAACAGGAAGGGACACTATTTCAAATGATCAAAAAGAAAAATGTCTACAGGACTTCCCTACAGACATTGAAAGCCAGCAGTGAAATGAATAATATTATAACTGGTACATTTCTGGCAATATCAAAGAGATTGTCACTGTAAACACCCAGAGTACCGGTCAAGATGTAGTAACAAGCTCCTGTAAAGAAAATCAGTCAACAAAGGGGAGAGAAGGAGATGGGTAGATGACTAGGAAATAGATTTTTTAAATTATAAGACTAGAGGTATCATAGAAGTGTTACTAATCAAAAGAATAGATTTCTGTTTTATAGCTAAAATCTAATACTGTATACACATTTTTATTGTAAAAAGTGACACAAGGCTAAATCATAATAATGTGAATCAATAACCAATTAGCATTTATAAATGCAGCTACTGGGAAACATATTTCAATTTCATGGCAAGGAAGCTCTAGAATTGTTTAACAAAGACAAAAGTGAAGCCAGCCCATGCTTGGTATGTACCAAATGACTCCACAGACTAAATGTGGAACTGCAAGTTGAGTCAAAGGGATGTCCCCAAAATGTACATGTATAACTTCATGCCACGATCTCAAGCCAAATCAATGACTAGATGCAGAGAGAAAGGATGAGGCATGAGGTGCTCAGATCCCCACCTAAGTTACTGAACAAATATAATATCTTCTCTGTATTTTTTTTAGGATGGCTGAAGGAGATGAATGAGACACAAGGAAGTAGGAGAGAAACAACTTCACTAAAAAGAATTGCTGTACATGTAGTGTTTTGGAAAGATGCAAGGGTGCAGGAATCTGGTTTAGTTGTGAAAGTTGACTTAAGAAGACAGATGACTTTAAATTTGGCATGTTTTCCTTCCTTCAGATTTAGCATGTGTTGGGAAGATTGAAATGGTGTAGTTAAAATGAGCAAACTACTCAGTGTGCCAGAGCATCCAGTATGTGTTGGTTTCCTGACATGATTTTGTCATTCCTCAACGTATCCACTGGGCTATTGCTGAGTGCTGACATGACCTGACTCCATCTCATTTCAGTCAGACGCGGCAGCCTCCGTATACCCCAAGGCTGCCAGAGAGACAAACTGGTCCTCTGAGGCAAGAGCCAGAGACTGGGGAGGAAAAAAGAAAAAAAAAAAGGGGAAGGATTAAACATGTTTAAGAGTGAAGTAGGAAAAAAGGGGTGAGTGAGAAAAAAAGCAGGAGTAAAAAGTAGTTCCTGACTGGGAAAAGTAGCGTATAGTATCCTGCATTTTAGATCCTGCTACTCAGATCCCAGATTGCTTTGAGCATCACCAGAAAAAAGTTCTTTTCCTTTCCTCCACACACTTGGCACACTGACAGTTGCCTCCTTAAGGCATTGGTCAGTTCACACCAACATTTCATTAAGTCACGGGTTTATTCTAGGAAAGCTCTAAAAATCCCTGACCTACCGGTTGTTTACATACATAAATTCACATTATGGTTAAGATAAATTTTTGAGGTTTTATATAGAGGATCTCCCTAAGCATCACAGATCATCTGCCATGTTAGTCCCAGGTCTGGTTGGTGCCACCATGTGTTGTTTCACTGGATCCCCAGTTCTTTTTATCCCTTTATTTTGGGTTTTAGCTCATCTTTGAAAGATGGCAAGTTAGCTGCCTCTAAGTTAACAATAGTAATGGATACTCTACTCTATATCCACTTTCGGAGCCCTTTAGCCCATCTCTTATCCAACCTGGTTTTATTTCTAGACCTTCTGTGATGCCCAAGATTGGTTTCAGTGGCCTCCTCTATTCTCCCACATGCTCCACATGCCCATACCCTGGAGCTTACCACATGACTATGAGGCTGTCCCCCAGTAGAATGAAAACTCCTCAAGGGCAGGAAGTATCCCCAGTGCCTGGTACAGTGCCTAGCCAACAGTTGGTGCTCAATAAATAATGTGGAACAACCAAATGAATGAATATGATTCACCTTTGGAAATGACCAAATCACATTATAAGGCCCAGGGTAGCTAATGAGGCTCTCTATTTAACAAGATTTTGTGTCAGTAGAGAAATTCTCCAATTGCTTATCAAAATTAAGTTTTCCTTAAACCATGTTTCAGCAATATGCAACTGAACTCATATTCTGTACCAATCTACCTCAGATTTATTGATAGTTTAAAACAATAGGTGTGTTTTGGTTAATGATTGAATTATACCATCACGGGTCTGCTGTTTAAAATTTACAATTTCTTTTTTAACATCTGCCATTTCTTTTTTCCTATCCTGTCACAACCATCAGGAAACATTTATCCATAAATGGCAAGTGCCTTAAATCATGGCTTCCTATGCCCTCCCAACTGTTCGTTTTCCTATATTTCTCTCATGTGTATAACCAACTCTCCCACATAAATTTCCATGAGATAGAGCATCCCATCCACTGCTAAATTCCTCTTGACTGTGGGAAGGTATAAAATGTTTCAGGGGTTCCTCCAGGTCAAACTGTTGTTCTGTAGGGCATTATGAACTTGTGCAAAACACCATTTTTTTCTCATGTTAAATGCATGACATTAACTCCTTTTGTGAATAAAGAAATCCCTATTTTCTATCACGCTACATTCTTGCATCCAAATCCCTTGTAAATGATTTTTCAAACTCTGAAGTTTATTCATTTAACTGAATCTATTCCTAATTTTGAATTAAATCTGCATTTCTCCCAGTAACCTTTGGAAAGATAGAAGCCACATTACCACATTGGAGAGAATGGGATCTTAGTGCAAAGAAGAGAAGCACAAAATCCCAGGAAGTTCTTTTTATAAGTTTATTTGTGTACCAAAAAAAAATAAAATAATGTTCAGAGGAAATGTTTTTATTGTACAGTATGAAATAACCTTCACTAAATTAAAAATGGGATTTGCTTTTTGCAGATAAGCCACTGATAACTTTTCTATTAAAAAAAGCCAAAATTTGTAATTTAAAGCACTTGTAGAAAAAAGCACCTGTTCAATTATTATATAAATACTCTTGACAGATTCCAGTAGCCCATCATATATACTCTGGCAATGTCAGCTTTCTAAAGTCAATCAGCTTCTACATTTGAAAGGCACCTGGTGGCCAACAGCCTGCTTATTATTTAGAGACATCCATTTTAATGTTTTTGCACAGACTTGATAAGTCTGAAGAATCATTAAGTTAAAAAGAATGAAGAACTATAATACAGTGGATATTAGCAAACAACATTTTTCCCTTAGCTGCTAATTTTCCCAAGGGAATTTACAAAGTGCACCAGTTAAATATGTCTGTACATTTAAAACATTAAATATGTTAACAACAAGACATTTTTAAATATTTTGAATCAAATACTATAGCACAAATATAATTTAAGTTAAATATGTCTGTACATTTAAAACATTAAATATGTTAACAACAAGACATTTTTAAATATTTTGAATCAAATACTATAGCACAAATATAATTTACAATACTTTGCACAGAAAACATTACATCTAAAATATAACTTTAGATATTATATAAAAATACATATATTTTCTCTCCTCATTAGAAAAAAGTATTTTCAGGTTCCAGCATGATGTAACAACTCAAAAGTACTTACTTAGCCCTTCTGATGATTACCCATTTGCAATCAGATAACAGCCTCTGACTTCAGCGGCATAGTGGCACATAATGGTGGGCTAGATCCGGAGAATTAACCCCTCCCAGAGACCAAACACAGTTTTTCAACAAGGCAACTATAATTGCTCCAATCTGGTTTAATTCTAGGAATTCATTATAAAATTTAAAAGCCAGTATGTAAGAAAGCCTTTGGACTGTAACACACTTTAAGTTCAACATCTCCTATTGGCTGTAAATATGCGTCCTCATTACCGAGTCAAGAGCATGGATAGAGTCTTCTTGTACCATTGTGGGTCATACCGCTTAGTAGTCTCACATGTATATACATCTTTCTTGGCTTGTTTAAGAGAAGTTTTCCATACATCCTAGGAAAAACATAACAACACTCTACAAAAATGGGGCTCAATCTATATCTAGAACTTTAAAAGCCCCAAAGTATGTTGCATCTTGATCTGGATCCAATAGTGAAGGATTGGATACCTCGATGCTGATTTCCTCACCAGATCGCAGTTTAAAAAATCCTCCAACATTTATCGAGTAAAAATGGAATTCAGAATTTCCTGACCAGTATTTGGTGCTCCCTCCTTTCATCAGGGTTTGAGAACTCAGGATTCTGATGCTGGTTTTAGTGACATACACCATCAACTGAAGATGCTCTGTAGCGAGGTCCCCTGAAGTTTCATGGTGTCGAAAGCAAATGTTGGCATACAGGAAATAAAAGCCATCTTGGTTAACTATTAGTTTTCCATTGCTGAAAGTCATGTTGGAGATCTTGGCCCATCCTCGGTCGTGGTACCAGGAGGAGAGACGCACTTTGTGGGAACCTGAGGGAAGGGAAGGCATATGATTTAAAATCCACCCCTTCAACGAGAAGAACATCCTCACAATTCTATGATGTCGGAGAAAAACACAGCATAACATTGTTCCAATGGCAGAATAGCTTCTCAGAATTTATGTTCTGAATGAGGAGAGACATATTAAAATGTACTTAGTGTTCTCTGCTAGACACCTCAGAGGGAATACAGACAAAAACTCCTTTTTCCTGCCCTCAAGGAGCCTATGGCACATGAGGGATGCATATGGTATGTGTGCAGACAAGAAGCAAGGCATGAGCCCGTGGGAGAGGCACACAGAAACTACGAGAACCCAAAGGAAGGAGAGCTTACTTCCTCCCAGGAGAATCAAGAATTACTTTATGGAGCTGCTACTGAGCCTGAGAACTTAGAGGGGGAACAGAATTCAGCGAACAAAAGACGGAAGGTCACTTAAGGTTGAAAGAAGAGAATGAGCCAAAGACAGTTAAGACAGACAAGCAAAAAACCAGTATGTAGACTCCACGATTCCAATAGTCCAGTGGAATTCCTCCAAGGACTGTGTATTTCCCAAACTCCACATCTTATCCACAGGAGGACGCTAGAGTGAGCCAGAGAAGCCATTAGTGGCACTGCTGTACAGGACCCACCACAACACATGGCCTTTCTCACTGGAGGTCCTCCCTAAATTCATCCCAGATTAAAGCATCCCAAATGTAAATATCACCCAGGGTCCCAAGTGAATCAAGATGAGACTATAAAACTATCACATCCTCCCAAACATTAGTCATTCCTCTGGGGTGGTAAACAGCCACCTACGCAATCTACGAACAAAGCAAACAAAATTCAGCATGTTTCCCATTTCAAACCCGAGGTTCCCCTCCTTCTTACCTTGTGCCTATATTCAATTCTTTATTCAATCAATTATTTGCCTTATCGTGTATCTCCCTGATGGCTCTTAACAGAGAGGAGCAGAAAGACTAAGCTGACATCTACCCTCTCAATGGGATGGATCAGCTAGTGTTAGACCATGGACTTGGAAATACAGGAAAGGTAAGGAAGGACTAAGACAGAGAGGGCAGAAAAAACAGCAGCCTTGATTATGTAACACTCCCAATGTTAGCTAAAGTCAAATGGAAGGAGTGCCCTCATTTCCTATGAAATATATCTGTATTTGTATTCATTCACTCATCTACTCACAGATCTATTCAGTTGATCAATCATTCAACAAATATCTGTGTGGTGCTTTCTATGGGGATTCACTCTGCCCATAATTAAGATTCACATCAAGCAGTGTACCCTCAAGGTACTTACCAAGAATAGTGGGAGAAAATAAGAAATGCTCATACAAAATGAAAATAGAACATTTTGATCTCAGCATGTCACACAGCACATGGTTGAAGTTCAGTTAAAGCAACTGCCAAATGAAAGCTGCAGAAAGTGATGGTAACAGGAGAGCTCAGACCAGTGAGCAGCAAAGGAGGAAGAGGCCGGGGAGAACTTGGATCCAAGGTGGAGTGGCCGGGAAGAAGGAGAGCCCTGCCAGCGAGGGCGACTGTTCAAAGGTGGATGACCACAGCATGAGGAGGAGAAAGGGAAGAAGGCCACCAGTGCAAACTGGACGGCTGGAGAACAGGCAGTGATAGCTGAGACAAGGGGCGAGAACCACGCTGCCGTCCGTCTCACGGGCCTCCCGCAGCAACCCTGGCTTCCCATCACTCAGGACACATGCTGACGGCCCACCCAGCCTCCCCACCACTGTGGTCACTGCTGTGAGATGCTGGAGAAGAAGCCCCTCCAAGTATTCAGCCTGAGCACCCACCTAAAGAAAGCGATGCATTCTGGCCTAACAAAATACTTCCCAGTGCATTTTCTTCAAGAAGCGTTGAAAATGCCAAAGCTAGCAGTCAGTATAAGGCAGATTCTGAAGTCTGTCTTAGGTGTAAATAAATACAAAACAGAGGCCCAAAATGAACAAGCAAAATTAAAGTCACCTTCCTCTGAAAACTCCAGTATCGACCAAAACAGGGAGAAATGGACTCAAGGGTTGTTAGCCCAGCCAGAGGAACAAAATTCTGTTTTCTTAGAAGAAGCACACACTACCTCACTTCACTCAGTCACAAACCAAATAACCACAGGAAACTAGCCAGGAGTTTTGCCTTGTTTTTAGGCAATGATTTAAGGCTAGGTGCCTGAAGAGAGAGCTTCATAACTAAAACATGCTTGCTGTTGCCAAAGAGACTTTGGCATAGAGTCTAATGCAATATTTATCATATGCCATTTAACATGAACTGAAAAGATAAGTGCAGAGTACAGTCATAGCACACACAGCTGATACATCAGTATCAATTTGACTGCCTTTGTTAACATGCAAAATAGTTCTCACCCAGAAAAATTAGCGTAGTCCACTGTAGGTCCCTTATACACATGCAGAATTTTATGAAGCAAGTATCTGGGACATGATAGAGAGCTTAGGAAAATCTGAAGGACAAAGAGTTGGTTTCTCACGTTTATGTCTACAGCCAAGAAGAGTCTCTGTGGCCCATGTTATGATAATGGCTTCAAAATCATTTACTAAAACTTGCCAAGGAAAACTTGCCTGAAATCATTTTTCGAGCAAGGTGGTATATGCATAATTATTTAATGAAACTCAAATAATAACAAATTACATTCACCCAGCACTTACTATATGCCAGCTTCCATATTCACTTCCATATATACTGTTAGCACTTCATTAACTCTTCATAGCTATCCATGAGGTGCATACTGTCAACCAGCCCCGTGAAGAAACTGACACACATGATTTCACTAATTTGCAGGAAGTCACACAGCCAGTGTGCAGCGCAGTGGGGCCTCAAATCCAGACCGTCAGACCTTAGAGCCCTTATTATTCTAACTACATTAACCTACTTCTTACAGGAAAAGAAGAGCATAAGAACTCTAAATTTATTTCCCTCTGAAAAAGCCAATTGGCCATAGGTACTTACATAGTAACATATAATGGAGAAGCAAGGATGCAGTCATCAACTAGGACAGAGTTCAAGTTCTAATCCTGCCACCACTGTGACCTTGAGCAGATAAATGATGTGGACTTAAGTTTCCCTGTCTGCGAAATCTGAATGATAATCACTACCTTGCAGAGTTAGAATAAGGATTGGAGATAACAAATGCAGAGTGAAATGCCTGATACCTAATGTGTTGAACAAATGGCATAATAATAATAATGTTCAACTGTCACTCTATCATAATTTTTTTTGTAATCTTTTTGTTTCTCACCTATCCCAAGGTGGAGGATTTATATGTAGGGATTATATGATGAGATAGCTGGGTCATTATGGTAGAAGTATGCACAGGGTTCTTGGTTTCCTCATTTCCAAAAGATAATCAGTCTCCATTGAGCTATATTCTTACCCAAAGAAAATGACAAGCCCCTACTGCCTCTTAAATATCACTCCGTTATGCCCCTACCTGGAACTCTGCAGCAGACGGTTGAGTATATGACCCACTGGATAATTCATGCTCCTCACAGGTCAGCAATGGGGATGAATCAACTTTTGTTTGGGCAAATATAGATGAGCATAACAAGGGATTGTCTTTCCCAGTTATGCAACCTTAGTTCACAGTCATTCAAAATAAACACCCATTTTGATGATTTGAAAATGAACATACTGATGTCCATTCTGGCATGACTGAGAATCAGTTTCCACAATGTGGATTATTAACTGAAGACTATGAGATCTTTCTTCTGGTCTAGAAGTTAAGGGCTCTTAAAATTTTAGTAACAGGCAAATAATAGGTCTGAGTAATCAAATGAGCTGATACATGACTTTTGAAATATTTTTCATGCTGGATGCAAATGGAACTTACCTGATGGGATGTCAGTGGCATTAATAGTGAGATGAGCAAAAGGTTGACTGTCAGGCTTGCCCCTCCTGGCCACATCTAACCACGAACCTTCCAGCATAGCTAGAGATGAGAGAAGCCATGTTAGCAAGAAGAAGAATGACCCTATGGGACTTTAAGTATTCCTGCAGATCCATGCTTACCTTTTTCTGCTCTGATGTGCTGTGATCTAACAATATGTTGCAATTCCTGAAATAAAAAGAAAAGAGAATCTTTTGATAAGGCATTAAGAATTCAGGACTATTGGACAGATAATAAATTAATCCTCATTCCTTCAAAATATGCCAGAAGTACATAGGCAGAGAAATTCCCTGATGTGATAGGTAGCTATCAAGGGAAGTTCACCCTAGAGAATTATGTTGATGTGCTTAAAAAGTAGATCACACACATACCATCTAACAAAATGCTTTGGACAATAAGAAGAAATATTGTAAAAAAAATGTAAATTATAAAACATGGAATAATTGAATATAATTAAAAATTTGTAGCAGGTAAACAAATTGAGATCAAGTTAACTAGGAAAATAACAATTACCCCAGAATATATGACCTCTTAAATCTTTGGTGAGGCTCATTTTATGTCTATTTCATTAGTGTTTCATGATCATAATTTCATTCATATTCCTGTTATAACACTGAAGCTCAGCCCACAGGAAAGAGAATGATGCCTCACTCCCAGTGGTTAATTTTTTATTTTAAAAAGTCAGAGTGTATTTAAAGTACTCCATGGAGCTTTTAGACTACCAATAATGAACTTAAAATATTGCTGCAAATAGAGTTTTAGAAGCATCCTGTTAAATAGTAAGATGGAGTGGATGAAACCTCAAGCTTTGACTCAAGTTCAAATGCCTTCTCAGCCACCCTCACATACTATAGTAACAGCACCTCTACCACATGGGGGTTGTGCAGATTACATGAGATAATGCACGTAGACACTTAGTAGGATGCCTGGTAATTTCATATATCTAGATACTAGAAACACTCTGGAGAGAATCCTATTTTCACTGTTATTGGGATGACTACCCGTCCCCTCCTCCATGATGTTTAAAAGAGAGGCCAGATAAGTTCTTTGAGGGTCTACAGACAGGGGCTTTGAAATGATAGATTATAGATAGATAATAGATGAGAGATAGACTGATAGAGGCAATTACACAACCTCAACTGTTAACAGTTGGAAAGGTTTAGAAATAAGATAGCATTGACACTTCTTCCTTTGGCATCCCCAAGATACATGAGTATCTATTCTATCCGTAAAGACCTATGGAGGAGTAAGCACAGCTGTCCTCAGCTACCTATTCTAAAGCCCTAAAGAAGTCACAGGACGACTGACGTTTAGAAAGAAACCCTGGGGCTCATCCCAGGCTGCCTTCTGCCCCTGCCTGGGCCTGGGGCACTGCCCTGCACAGCTCTGGGGCACCATCTCCAGCAAGTTCTAGGCAAATGGTGCACGGCAGTGGCTTTCACCAAGCCTTGTTCTTCTCCCAACTCCATCCAAGATTTATTTCTCTCTCCCGCTGGCCTCCAATCTCCCAATTCTCTTCCCATGACCTCTGGATTCCCAGTGGTACTCCGGTTCCTGGAATTTCCTGGTCTCGTCTCCCCTGCATTCATAACAGAGATTTATATATGTACCATGTCTACATACACATTGCATATATCTTTACACATTTACAATATAATATGTCGTTATACATCATGTATATCCTTATACACGTATACATTCAATGTATCTTTATCTGACCACTATCTCTTCAAAGACTGGAATAGGAACCTTGATGACAGAGTAACTCAGAGATTCAAAGCTACCCCTCATTTCCCCTCTAGCCCTGATCTGCCTGATAATCAGACGGGAGAGGAAGGAGGGGAGAAAGAAGCAAAGCTAAGTATGACAAATGCCTTCAAATGTCTGTTTCATGCTTTGTTATTGAGAAGAACACTCTTGTTATTGAAGAAAACAAGGAAAGAGCGTTTGTGCTGACTCAGTGGCTCTCAAAGCATTGTGGGCATGCAGCACAGTCTTCTGGGCATCGGGCGTGGTGCTGAAACCGTTTCCAATCCTGTGGGTCTGGGGTGGGGCCTGGGCATTTGCATTTCTAAGAGGCTAGCTGGTAGTGCTGGCCTGGAGCCTCCATCTCACTTCCCAAAGGATTTCAGAGGTGGGCAAATTGGAGATTTTCTTGAAACTTGAGACCCAGGCAGAGAAGCTGCAGCCGAAGGTAGGGAGGGTGGGTCCACTTGGGAAAGAACCTCTGCCCATTTCATCAGTGGCTTCTGGGTCAGAGCTGTCACGGAAACTTTCATTAGAAAAAAACTCAATAACCAGCACCGTTTAGAAGCAATTTCGATGTCTGCTAAAAAAATGTGTCATGACCCAGGATGAATTAAAACTCTAGCTGGAGAAGATGAGGAAATGCTATTTTCATGTTACAGCTGTTGCTGGGTATCCAAGAACTGCAGGTCCTTTCAGAAACCCTACAGGGAAGTTTCTAAGTGAAAAAGAGAGTATGTGATGGGTCTACAACCTCAAGCCACAAAAAAAATATATATTTACAATATCTATTCTTGTGTCCCTTCCTGTCCCCAAGTTTTTGAACTCTTAAGACTATCATCATTTATGTGCACAGCTATCAACCATAAACATAAGACTCTTCTAAGACTCTGCTTTTAGGGTGCCCCAGGCCCAAACCCCAGCCAGTCTAAGTTATTTAGTCTGCTGTTGACTTGGTATATCTCCCCAGGTGATCCTCATACGTAGCAGGCGCTGAGAAACATCACTGAGTGAGTATTCCCATGAACGGGTGGCTGGTGACACCTCTGTTCAGTCATAGATTTATTATATTCTCACAACTTTTATATATTCCAAATGTTGAAAATTAAATGATCCCTTACATTTGTAGCTAACAAGGTATTTCCCCTTGTATTATATTTGATTCTTATTAGAATCAGAGGCTGGGTAACAATTACTAACCTCGCCTTTCAGACTGGGAAATGGAGGCCGAGAGAGGATAAGGACTTGCCTAATGTAACTGAGACTTGAACCAGTGCCTTCCAGCTCGCTTTCTAGGGCTATAAGCCAACCCCACATTACAAGATGGGGTCATCAAATATCCTCTGTCAGCTGGGAGAGTAGGATCAATGGCCTGTGATGGGTTGAGAACATGCTACTGCAAAATACGGTACCTTGGCATATTGAATATTTGAAGCGGAAGAAATTTGAGGAACAGCACAGGCAGGAAGGGCTCTCTGACCCTCCCTTCTGTCCTAAGGCAGGTCATAAGACCCTGTGGTGAGAGGTGCCCTCCTGGTACCTGGTGGAAAGGAGCCTCCTGCTCACCAAGACGTAAGGAGGTCATGAGGAACCTGAAGAAACAAGCCTCCCTAGGTTTCCCCCATTTACTGCCTTTAGCTCAGACCTTTGTGTCCTCACATTTTGCCACACTTTTTCACTCTTCATCAAATCCAGTATAAAAACCCATTAGGTTAACTATTTTTTTCCAGTTTCATTTCCTTATGAAGGCTCTTATGTCATGTAAAATTTATATTAAATCAACTTGAATGCTTTTCTCTCATTAATCTTTTCTTGTCAGTTTAATTCACAGGGCCCCAACTGGAGAGCCTCAGTGGGGTACAGGGAAAAGAATCCTATTTTTTCCCCCCTACACCTGTCAGAAGTCCTTAAAAGGTGGTTCCCTCCCTGAAGTAATAACTTTGAAAGGAGGCTCACCTTGCCTTGGGGATCTGGCTGCCAGGTACCTGGGGATCTGACAAGAAGGAGCCTCAACATCAGAAAATACAGTCTTGGAATTCCCAAAGGCCTCAGAAAACTGCTACACCATTCCCCACACTCAGCCCCGCAGGCCTTGGGCATGTGGCGCAGCGAAAAGTGACTCTATCAAGCCCACCCCACAGAGCAGGATACACTCTACTTTGTCATTTTTCTCAAAGGTCAGATACTTTACTATGCTTGTACCAAACACAGAGCTATCCTGAATGCCTCCCTAATATTTTTAATTTTCAAGATTATAAGAAACCCTTTTAAAAGGAGTATACAAACTTTACCCCAACTGACAATTCCATTTATTTTCTAAGCTTTGCATTTACATTTATTCTCATCCAGATTAGTCCCTTACTTCTGTCACATTAGTTGAGTGTTCTAACATTTGCAGAGTTCTTTATTCTCAAATCTTATTATTCAGACATTGCTTTTGGCTTCTTTCATTCTGATCATTTAGTTTGGGGAAAACACTACAAAGAATATCCCAGCTCCTTTCCTCTAAAAAAATGTATTCAGGTCTTTTCAAAATGTTGTATGTGTTTAATCTTATTTTAAAATTAAAAACAGAACACACAAACAGTTAGTTAATTCTGGATAAACATCAATGTATATGTTGACTATAAGAATGCCTACAGATTTGCATAAGGAAGTGTAGGTAGCTCCCACACACCTTGCAGCAAACAGCCTGCAGCAGAAAAGCCAGCAACAGTTTCCAGGGTGAGGGAGCTGGGCAGACAGCACTCTCTGCAATCTTGTCTTGGCTAAGAGCCACCAAAGTGAATGCAATGTCCCCAGGAAAATCAGAGAACTTTCTTCTTAGACTACAGCACATTTAGCATATTACATGCAAGGGACAAAAAGAATTGCCCCTTGATTTCTATAAACTACTTATTAGAACTAGGATTATTGTAAGTTACCAAGAAAATTCACATAAGTGAATGAATTTATGCATGGTCTCGCTGTAATAAGTAGGCTTTCCTGTGAATCTATGCATTTTTAGATAAGTACAATTTGGGCCTAAATTATGATAGCTTCATTTAACCCTTCAAAACAGAACAAAAAGGAAAACCTCAACTGGTAGGCAGCCAAAGAAATCCCAGACAATTCAGAATAAAAGAAAGCCTCTGACATACTGCCACCTAGTGGACACTGTCCAACATTGACAAGCCTGGGATGTGACAGCCAAGCTTTGTAGATTTGAAACTGCCCCCACTCCGAAGTCTAGAACAATAGAGATGAGGAAATTTCACATTTTTTAATCTTCTCATTGTGGTATTTTCCTATTTAGACTCCTTTACTCTTTGCCTCCAGAGTACATCTGAGCAGACGAGAAAACCGGTATGATTTTTTTTTTAATTTCGACTTTTATTTCATAGAAAAATGTTGGGATTTCACAATTTCTCCTCCAGGAAAGA